CTATTTACAAATTTGTAACCAATGGTGCAGAGACAGCGCTATGGCCAAAAAAACTGAACCAAACTTACGCTGCGAAACTAGAGAAAAAGCCATCGCCTTGAATTGTTCATTTATTGACAACTGCAGATGCGAGGGCGCAGAAAATAAGGTGAACTGTCAATGCTCAGAACCTCAAATCCAGGAAGAATTTGAAAATATACAATCCAAACTACCACTGAGAAGTCCATTCTGGGAACTGTCAATTTAAAAAAAAGCAACTCACTGCGCACATCCCGCACATGGTCACTGCAGAATGTATTGTTAATTTTGAAAACACTTTCGAATCCGCGCTTGTAGAGTTTGATGATAATATTTGTGTCATTAACGATTCTTACCTAAAAGGATCTTACAACTGCGCAAAAGGAGCAGAAGCGCGCGTAGAGTGCAAATCAGAAGCACCGACAATAGGAGAAATACTCTGTCAAGAAAATGCATTCGTAGTGTCATGCGCAACCTAAGCGCCGCAATCAACACTGCGCTTTCATTTCGGCAGCGCTAGAAAACATCTGAATTGCACGATAAAATGCGGTACAAAATCGCACGCATTTACGATTTTCGGCATTTTAAGGTACGTGGGAACGCTGCATAACGTTGTGCTAACGAAACTGAAAGGAAATAGCACAATTTATAATGAAATGGCATGGCGCGATTTTACGCATATAGCAGAACGTTTAATAAATTGGAATGAAACCCTTCTCATAGCAATCACTTGGCTGGCGAATACTCGTCTCTCTGCTGAAAATGGCATTTGCACTATAATTGTTCCCTTACGATTGAGCTGCTATACTGCACGCATGGTCATTATGCAGATGAGCAAAAGGAAAAGAAAAACTGAGAATCATATCAAAAACGTTTAGCATGTTGAAGCGCTCATTTTTATCCAACTAGTGTATATATCATCCTAAAACACAAAAAAAAACAACAGAAAATTTCAAAAAAATTAGTTTTTTCAGGCGCAATAAAGAAGCTCGAAAAACTCCAAATCGACATTCGAATAATACACAGCGCTATTTACCATCAGCAGGCAACCTTGGACTATCTGTCACAAATTCTAGAAGACCTGCGCGAAAAAAGCGAAGAGGAAAAAAGGAAAAAGGAATGTGCAAATCGAAGCCCACGAGCTACAAGAAGCGATAAAAAATCTGACGAGCACAGTCGAAATTGCGCTGAAAAATTTAGGAAATGAAGCGGATCAATCAACAAACATCGATCACGTCAACGAAGAGGGGGAAGGCGCCGCCGCAAAGGTCGAGGAAGAAGCCCCGAGAGAAGACAATAACATGGTAAAAAAGCAGGTAAATGAAGATGAGAGGAATGACGCCGCCGCGGAGCTCAAAGAAGAAGCCGTGTCAGTCGAAGAAGAGAAAAAAGACGAACGTGCGCAGCTGGGCTACGAAGCCAGAACCATTCAAAGTAATCGGGACTATATCAAAAAAAAAACGGAAATTGAGATGGAAGACGCATCCCTATCTGATGAAGTGGATGAGGCCAAGGAACACCAAGAAGTGGGAATTATGGAAGAGCCGGTCAGAGAAGCATCAGAGAGGGAAGAGCTTTTGACACCAAAAGAAGCTCGGCTGCACGACGAAGAGCTCTTGGTCCCTGCTCTGAAACTTGAGCTGGATCAAAATCGG